GCTGCCCAGCACTCCCTCACCCCACGATGTACATTGGCCGTTAAAGGCCACAGCTCCTTATTTACGGGATAAAGGCAAGAAAAAGTTTGATATGTAGAAGACAGCATTAGGAGCCACGCGAACGGGCACAAACATCCACCTCGTTGCCAAAGAGCAATGGTTTGGCAGCTCTCCGAGGGAGGAAGGTATAGCACCAGGGTTTGGACTGCTGGAGCTGAAAGCCAACATCTTTCCCAACACGTGTCAACTAACGCTACTTCCTTATGCTCAGAGCCGCTACCGGCACTGAAATTACCTCCTTCCTGCTTCTCCTGGAAGCTGTTGGGTGGTTCCTGTCCAGACTCAAACACCCACTGGCAGGGGGTTGAGCTGGCCCTGGGGTTCTCCGTGTCTTTCAAGAGTGGGACGTGGCGATAATGGGATGAAACCTCCCCCAGGGCTGCAAAATATCCCCAGGGCATGAGTGGCTCATAGCCAAAATTGGGGGTACTGGAGCCATCCATCATGAGTGTCCCACCGGGTGACGACGGCTGGTTGTCTTATCTGAGGGGTCAGTGATGGGGACGATTGCCAAGCCCTCCTCTGGCCTTGCACCTCCGGTGGCTCACCTGACACAAAGTGCAGACAGCGTTTAGGGTGCCGACCGCCGCTGATGTCATAAAATTGCATAGAGAAACCAGTGGCTGCAATTGTAATTAGCAGAGGAACTGGGCAGGCACCCACTTGGAGCCATGCGTGCTGCCGGCAAAATCCATGTGGCTGATGGAACAAGTGAGTGCATGCACAGGAGGCGCTGGATCCCACGCGGGGCGAGTACGATGTCCATGGGGCTTCTTGCTGCTGCTGTGTGCATCGCTCCTACCGCCCAGAATAATAACCCATGACTAACGTCTCAAGGACAGATGCACTTCCGTGCACGAGTCTTGTGCAATTGATTTTTGTCTTTTCTGGAGGATGTTAGTAACAGCCGTGTCTTGCTCAGGTCAGGGGTTGATGTTCTGCACAGGAGAATTTAATAGTGCTCTGCTTTTCAAGTGATGATCTCATTCATTCGCTGAGATTTCAGTTCGACTAATTTGTGTGAGTATTTTCAGCGTAACCAACCGTGTCCCAAGTTTCGTAACGGCCGGTGATTTTCTGGCAGTCCCCAGCCCCTCTGATGTGTTAGTTGGGCTTCCAGTTAAAAGCAGAAACCACGCCAAAATGGAAGCAGAGAAGCCTCTGTCCTGTTTTATTGTGGTTAGAGGAAATAAATAAATCTTTAAACAGGCAAAAACCTAAGAGGTGAAGGAAAGGAACCTTGTAAGGTACAACTGGTAATCACTTCAAAGGGTTTTCTTGGGGTGAGTGCTGTTGGCAGCAGGACGTGGTTGCACATGCTGCCCTTGCTCAGATTTTTCTCCTAAAATGCAGCGCTAAGTGGTGTCCTTGTGCAGAAGTGTCAAAGGACTCAATGCTTTCTCAGGGATAACGTCCCCTGGTTAAGATATATAACTTGCTAGTAGCTGTGTAGACTCCTACACCCAGCTGCACCCCTACAGAGCTCATGGGAAATAAGGACAAAGGAGTTTAAGGAGAAGCCAACACAAGAGAATTCTTGAGAACTTAATATTTTATTGTTTCATGGGCACCTCAAGGGCCAAAGCACAGCCCGGTGCACCAGGAGGAGGCAGCAGGGAAGCTCCAGGGATGCCCCTTCCCGGGGGAGCGACGGTCCTGGAGGGCAGAGGAGGGAGTTTGCAGTCGGGCAGCCCTGGGGCTTGCAAAGCTTTGGGGAGGTTGGAAGGAGCTGGTCCGTGGGACATCCCATCACTTCATCTTCTGTGAGGGCATCTGCGGGATCTGCTGCTGCTGCTGCTGCTGGGGCTGTGTCTTCCCG